GCAGTGACGATATACATGGTTTTGTGCATTTTCAGGGCTTTTTTGTACATATGCAACATAAAGAGAACCGTGAGGTTGTTGTGGGTTTTTTTTTTCATATATCGCTTTTCTTTTGTTTGTTGTAACTGTCATATGAAAAGGAATTTTTTTTACAGTACCGAATGTTTTTCTTTCATTTTTAAAGTTGTTTGAGAAGTTATAGTGAACAGATTCAATGTATATTGTAGCTTAGAGGCAAAGGGGAGAAAAACAAAACATGTTGAATGTAAAACCTATAAAAAAAAAAAAGTATAAAGTCTTTTTTTTGTTTTGTTCTTGTTGTTGTAATAGTTGCTGGCTAGTTGGTATTGGCCTGTAGTGAACCTTTAACATGTCCTGATTTTTGGTATCCAAATCTTTAACACCCACAGACAGCTGTTGCCGCAGTGCTAAATCATATAAAATGGCACGACCTTGCAGTATTGCTTTACTATCCTACTTTGTGCAATGAAACGCTTTACAATGGAACAAGAACTAACTTGCTTTTTGGTGACGTTCACACTGTTGCTGTTCTTTTACCCTGGCAGTTTTTTTTGTTTTTCTGTGTGGTTATCATTGTCAGAGGTGTTGTTTGTGGATTTGATGTTAAGTTTTTTGTTAGGCAGGATAACCTTCATCATGGGGCACCATGGAAATTTTTGATCCTGCCTTGCACATTCCAATAGATGGCATGCTTTTAGTGTCTTCCAACTTCTCACATAAAAACAAACAAAAAACAAAAAAACATATCCTTTCCACTTCCTTTTTACTACAGCGATTTTCCCGATCACCTTTTCCACTTCCTGTTCTTGTCCTGTCCAGCTTTATTGTGGTCACACCCAAGCCTTTACCCAGTATATTAAGCTAAACTAAACCCTTGAAATGTGCATCAGAAAGCCTTTGTTTTGCTGTTGTTTTGTTCTTTTTTTGTTTTTTTCAATTACGTCAAAATTGATGTGGTGCTTTTGTGAATGTCGTCTGTAAACCAGCAGCAGCAAAGCCAATAGATCTCCTTCCAAATCAAATGTAATGCATTGCAATGGCAGCTCTACACAGTTCTCTGCTTCTTCTACTACTTTGCTGTGTTGTTTGTCTGGGAGTTTACCCCGTCTGTCACTTCTCTCATCCGATGACCTATTTTTTCCCCGTACCATCTCGTGTTTTTACTGAGCCTTACGCTGGCTGGCATAAAAACCAACCTTTGCTTTTTATTTCTCGATTGATTGATTGATTGTCTGGTTGAGTTTGAGGTTATTTTGCATGTCTAGTATCGCTCATTTCCCCCCCCCCTTTTTTTTCTTTTTCGTTAGGAGATACAACACTGAAGGGTTTTATGTGTTAGATTTCCCCTCCAAGTATCCAATAACCCAAGGCTGATGTAGTCTGTTTTTCACCAGATGTAAAAATGCTCATTGCAGCCCGTAACACACACAAACACACAGTGCTAAGAGCATTTTGTGGGAAACTTGACGTCAGTCTCGGGTCTTCACTGGAGGGCAAGATTTCTCCTGTGTGTGGGCTTGGCCTCTGGTCCTCATCAGCAGTCCCACGCACATGGAGGAAGCACTTTCTGAGGAGTGGTGCACTCAAGGAGTATTTGTGTGAATGTCAAGCTCATGACGAGAGCTTGGAAAGATGGATGAAACATGTATGATGTCGATAATGTGATCTCTGTGATGTAATGTGACAGAAAGGAAAATAAAACCTAAATGGAAGCAGCCTTGTCATTGGGTTCATTTGTTTATATGAAGATGACTATGACTATCGAAGTGTAAGCTTCAAAGGCAACAGTGGATTCATTCCTTCTGCTTTTGCTACCTCGGCTGTCTTTTGACTTGTGTATTCCTCCCCCTTGTGGACAACAGGTGGTGTGACAGCACCATTGCTATTAGCTGTGTTCATGAAAACAAAAGGCACAGCACACACTGGTCACTTCTTTACAGCAGCAATTTCAAAATTTATTGAGACTGATTGGTTTTTGCAAATTATAGTCAAGCTAATTCTTCCACTAAACATGAATTAGAAAGAGGCTTGGACGGCTGGCGGGCCTGTCCCAACATCAAAACAGGAGGCTCATGGTTGACTGTAAAAATGTTTTGTGATCAGTACTATCAACCAAAAAAATATCAGCACAAGAGCACTTAAAATCTGCCCAAAACAAAACAGGTGTAAAAACAGGACAGGTTTTTTTTTGATTATTTAGCACATTTTGTTACAAACACAGGATTATGATAATATAAAGTCAGCATCATATTGAACAATATTCCCAATGAAAATAAACAAACCTCAAGCTTCAAGTGCGACCTTTTACAAATCAGAGACCCTCTGAAACTTGAGGGAGAAAATAAATAATATATAATAGTAATATAAATTTATATATATGAAGGTATACACACATCACTCTTAGTAGAAGAACAAAATCTAAAGTAAAAAGCGCCAATTTTGAAATATAGTATAATATAGATATACCCATATCTATGGCTTCATGATTTGCACGTGTGAATCAAGCTATACAGGCTAAATGAGGATTGCAATTTGTACATGTCTAAGAATACCCATATTCATCTGCAATAGAGCAAAAAATTCCAGTTTTGCATCGTGTGGAATGAGACAGTTGTGTGCAGATGCCGAAGATGCCGCTTTGGTATGACAAAATGAACATAGGCATGCAGTTAAGACCACAGAATCAGGGCACAAAAGGTCATCAACACACAGTGGGAAGGAGAATCTGGTCGCCCATCATGATTTGTCTCTTTGAAGTTTTCAAAATCCTCGAACGTTTCGGCCCTCTAATCTGATCGGTCGCATCTCGATAATCTCTATCCATTGAGTTACAAATATTCAGTCGTCTCTTGGAAACAAACACTCTTGCAAGCACACAGGTGAAATGTCATTGAGGCACATATTGAGGGGTTGATGGCAGACGTTTTCCTGAAGTACAACCCAGAATGAGGAAGAAGACGTACAGTACAGATCGTGAGAAGAGCGCGGGGGCCGGGGGAGTCACACATACATCCAGATGCCTCTCAGGGGCCAAAACAGCACCACAGGACAGAGATTTGCCACCGATTATGGGCTCCTTCCACACCCACCATTGACATTCATAAACATATTCTACCCCATTGTCTTTCTTCTTTTTTTTTCACCCCAGAAAAGTACAACTGTTTGATAAGTGGGTCAAACAAAAGCACAATAAATAATGCAAATAAAATAAAGATATCTGTCAGACATAAAGAAAGCATCACAAATCTCACTGTACTGAGAGTCTCTCAGCAGGGGCTGATGGGAAGTGCAGTCCATGGCACCTACAGAAGAGGCCAAATGTGTGCGACCAGCACTGGCAACAAAATGTTTCCCAGAGTTACTACTGCAGCACTCTTTCCCTTTATGTAAATGAACTGGGGTCAAGCCAGGAAAGCACTGACATATAGGAATACAGCATGTGGACTCAACGCTCTACTGTCCGATAGACGTGTTTCGTCTGCACATTGCATTTCTACTTGATTGCGTGTCATCAAAGGCGTGAGACACAGCAGTAGCCAGAAAAAAGAAAGGAAAAAGAATCAGCCTGGTTTTAGGATGCGGTCTTCAAAAGCTAGCTGGTCCTTTCACACAGCCCTTCATATTCACAATAATACCATAACGTGCACTTTTTTGTTTTTTGTTTTTCCAAACTGTGACGAATAATGACAGGTTCAAAAAAATAAAAACAACCCAACAACAAAACTGTTTACCACAACAATAAATCCAGAAGCACCTGCACACACAGACCGTGAAACAAAAGCACTTTATGTATACAAATTACTAGATTGTTTTTGGTTCGATATTAATCAATTAGTGTACATTAGTGATGCAAAAGCATGTGCTGAATACATGTTTCAATCAATATCTAACAGAGATGTTTGACAGTGAATGTGTTTTCCCCCCTGGTAAAAAAAAAAAAGAAGAAGAAATGAAAATAAAAATAAAAGCAAATACGACAGAGAAAGCATAAACTGGCACAATAAAAGATTGATAAAAGCCCCATGGCTTGCTGTCCACAACAAGGCAAAGTATAAAAGCTTTTTTTTTCTTATACAAGATATAAAATATCCAAAAAAAAGAAGAACACACCATAAAGCTTAGCATCCAGCACTTAATAATAATTAATAATAGTAACATCAACGACAAGTAATCATAGTTCTGATATTCATAATAATAAGACATGTCATCTGACTCACTTGAATTGTCAACTTTGCCGAAAACAAACAAACCAAAAAACAAAACAAAACATGGAAATAATCTTAAGAACTGAATATAGAATATCTTTTGGCCACTGGACACTCATCCTTGCATACAAGCAGCCATCCTGTTCCACTCAACACGTACAGAGAGGGCAAGAGCAAGGGAAGGACTTCTGAAAATTAGGAATCCACAAATAAACAAACAGGTTTCTCAATAAATAGCTGTCAAACAAAACAAAGTCAAATTACACTTTCTGCAAAGAGCAAACTCTGAATTTCAAGCACAATTCTGCAATTCTTCTTTTTTTTTTTAACCTTGCAAAGCCAGAGAAAGCATATCAGCAAAAGAATCGTGGAAAGAGTCTGCATATTCTGATTCCAGCAAGTGGAATTACATGACTCACTTAAAACGCGCACACGGCAAACGAACAAACCAAAAAGAAATTTACACAAAGGCAGCTCCTCCTTAAGTGTGAGAGACTTAGCTCTCAGGTCCTATCGTCACAACCTCCAGTGTGAGAGAATCTGGACCAGAGAAAGCGAGAGAGAAGGAAAGAGTTATTAGTGTAGAGCATCCACTGTGTGCTTGAATTGATTTTAAAAACAGGAAGCAGAAACTGATGTCCACTCTGTGGGTGAAGACGGCTGAAACGCTAAAAAGCATCTTTCGGTCTCTCTGTCTCTCTCTGTCTCGCACAGCCTACAGCCCCTTTTAAATTTCCACC